GGAGGTGCAATGGAATGTCTCTAACTTAAGTTTATTATCTTAGATATATTGTATACATGTGGTTAGCATGTTCAATTAATAAATTATAATTATTAATAATGTAATGGATGTTTGTTTTCATTAAGATGCAAAAAAGGTTTTTGTAATATAGACTATTTATCTGTTTCAGAAATATATCAATTACTTTAAAACACACTGCAAATGACCTAGACCCATGCTGACATATCAAAACATAAATAAATATACAGTTGAAGTCGGACGTTTACATACACCTTAGCCAAATACATTTAAACTAAATTTTTCACAATTCCTGACATTTAATCCTAGTAAAAACTCCCTGTTTTAGGTCAGTTAGGATCACCACTTTATTTTAAGAATGTGAAATGTCAGAATAATTGTAGCGAGAATGATTTATTTAAGCTTTTATTTCTTTCATCACATTCCCAGTGGGTCAGAAGTTTACATACACTCAATTAGTATTTGGTAGCATTGCCTTTAACTTGGGTCAAACGTTTCAGGTAGCCTTCCACAAGCTTCCCACAATAAGTTGGGTGAATTTTGGCCCATTCCTCCTGACAGAGCTGGTGTAACTGAGTCAGGTTTTGTAGGCCTCCTTGCTCACACATGCTTTCTCAGTTCTGCCCACAAATCTTCTATAGGATTGAGGTCAGGGCTTTGTGATGGCCACTCCAATAACTTGACGTTGTTCTTAAGCCATTTTGCCAAAACTTTGGAAGTATGCTTGGGGTCATTGTCCATTTGGAAGACCCATTTGCGACCAAGCTTTAACTTCCTGACTGATGTCTTGAGATGTTGCTTCAATATATCCACATAATTTTCCTTCCTCATGATACCATCTATTTTGTGAAGCACCCCCACAGCATGATGCTGCCACCCCCGTGCTTCACGGTTGGGATGGTGTTCCTAGGCTTGCAAGCCCCCCCGCTTTTCCTCCAAACATAACGATGGTCATTATGGCCAAACAGTTCTATTTTTGTTTCATCAGACCAGAGGACATTTCTCCAAAAAGTACAATCTTTGTCCCCATGTGCAGTTGCAAACCGTAGTCTGGCTTTTTTATGGCGGTTTTGGAGCAGTGGCTTCTTCCTTGCTGAGCGGCCTTTCAGGTTATGTCGATATAGGACTCGTTTTACTGTGGATATAGATACTTTTGTACCTGTTTCCTCCAGCATCTTCACAAGGTCCTTTGCTGTTGTTCTGGGATTGATTTGCACTTTTCGCACCAAAGTACGTTAATCTCTAGTAGGAGACAGAACTCGTCTCCTTCCTGAGCGGTATGACGGCTGCGTGGTCCCATGGTGTTTATACTTGCCTCCTATTGTTTGTACAGATGAACGTGGTACCTTCAGGCGTTTGGAAATTGCTCCCAAGGATTAACCAGACTTGTGGAGGTCTACAATTTTTTTTCTGAGGTCTTGGCTGATTTCTTTTGATTTTCCCATGATGTCAAGCAAAGAGGCACTGAGTTTGAAGGTAGGCCTTGAAATACATCCACAGGTACACCTCCAATTGACTCAAATGATGTCAATTAGCCTATCAGAAGCTTCTAAAGTCATTACATTTTCTGGAATGTTCCAAGCTGTTTAAAGGCACAGTCAACTTAGTGTATGTAAACTTCTGACCCACTGGAATTGTGATACAGTGAATTATAAGTGAAATAATCTGTCTGTAAACAATTGTTGGAAGAATTACTTGTGTCATGCACAAAGTAGATGTCCTAACCGACTTGCCAAAACTATAGTTTGTTAACAAGAAATTTGTGGAGTGGTTGAAAAACAAGTTTTAATGACTCCAACCTAAGTGTATGTAAACTTCCAACTTCAACTGTATATATTTACATTTTGGGATGGTTCAAGTTCAGTTTGGGACAGTTGAAATTGCATTTCGGGACGGTACAGTGAGGAAAAAAGTTAGTTGTGAGCCCTGCAGCCACTGCCTTCCAATTTAGGAGTTTATCAGCGCCCAAATGTGCCATTTTCAACCAGTATATGGGCACGAGTGTAAAGGGTTAAATACAGGGCAAGTGGGCCAGGAAGCGCCACCCAAACCCACTGGAGGAGGCTAGAGGCAGAGCTGCAAAGCTTTACAGGAAGCTACACCACCAACAAACTAAGTAAATAAGTTCCCAAGGAAAAGCGGAACATAATCTAGAGGCCTATGCTCTAAATTGGTGGCTGACTGGGATCTTTATCTTGAATATATTTAGTTTACGTTGCACTAGAGAATCTTTACAGCCTCTTGTACCTCTTGAAACAATCCAGGAATACCATAACAGTCACTCTTAAATCCCTATCGTTCTTTATGCTCGGATAATGGCTGTGTTAAACAGTATGTTCAGAATGTGGAGGAGCGTGGCCATAAAAACAGACAGTAAAAACTGTGGAAAGGAACGACAGACTCGCCCCTCTAAAATTGTTCTCCATTAATACGATTTAAGCAGCCTGTCATTCCAGACCAGTCTGACATTTAGCTGCTGTATGGTCGCCCTGTGGCAGAGCTCTCAATAGCCCTGTTCGCACTCCGCTGAGATCAAAGTGGGTGCAGGTGCAATGGAACTAAACAGATAGAGGAGGAGATGAGATCAACAGAAAGACTTAAAGGAAAGAGGATTTTCTTTCATGTCTAGACCTCAGAACTTTTGAAGGGAGACACTCATCCGTTTAGTAGAGTGGAGATCAGCACAGCTTACATGACAGACGCTGCTACCCTGGTCCTGGGAAAAGTCTGTAGTCTGAACTAGCACCATTTTGCTCAGTACATTGAATGAGAAAAAAAGTGATCATGATCTAATACACTATTTTGCTCAGTGTCTTGAAACTTGGGGTCAGGAGCCCATGTGGAGTCACCTGATTGAAAATTAGTTCGCGATCAGGGTGGGAAATGAACACACGTCACCCGCCAAATGCAGGTAGATTTTGGCATTGTCAGGTAAGAATGTCTATTTCACCAACCAAAGCATTTGGGAATAGTAAAAAATTAATAAATCCAAAGCCCAAATGTAGAAGTTGGTCGAAGTAGCCTGAAAGGCTAGTTGGCTAGTTACATTGTTTAGTTGTTTTTCAATATTAGTTGGGTTTGCTGCAAATGTCTGCTGCTAGCGAAGAGATGTCTGACCGAGACACAGAGACAGAGTGCCCCGTTACCATGGTAACGGCCCGCCCCTTGAAGGGGCAGCGGAACATTAGTCTCCCCTAAAACCTTTTATTCATGAACTTAGTAATTTCTTATCATTAAAACACTCAAATAATTTAATTGTGATCCTAAATGTCAAATTATGTACTCCTTGTAAAAAATGTCGTGAACATTTCCCACCCTGATTGCTATCACTAGCCGGCTACCACCCGGTTACTCAACCCTGCACCTTAGAGGCTGTTGCCCTATTTACATAGACGTGGAATCACTGGTCACTTTAATAATGTTTACATACTGCTTTACTCATTTCATATGTATATACTGTATTCTATTGTACTGTATTTTAGTCAATTGCTCGTCCTAATATTGATCTATTTCTTAATTCCATTCTTTTACTTTTAGATGTGTGTGTATTTTTGTGAATTGTTAGATACTACTGCACTGTTGGAGCTAGGAACACAAGCATTTCGCTACACCCGCAATAACATCTGCTAAATATGTGACCAATAAAATTTGATTTGATCTGTAATAATAAATAAGCCGTATCACTCAGCATTTTGTGGCAGGGCAGGCACTTTGTTGATCCTTGAAGTTCAGTTGACTTGCGATTCCAGTTATGCAATACTCATGTGGGAGCTGAGCTGACCCAATAACATTATACTGTAAGACATCTTTATGGCTTCACCCAGATACAAGAACATAGCTGTGGAGGAGCAGGCAGCTTGGTTGGAATGTGACATACATTTGGGCGCTATATATTCCCCCACACAACGCAAATATTCAGCCTGATGTCCACAGACAAACATGAGGTGGGTGTATGTTAACATTACAGCCAGGGAGATTGGGAGATGACATTAGTACATGGAGGGATCTGTGTACAGATTAAAGCTGGGACGATAAACCGAAAATTAAGACACCGACATTGCCTTCCTCTTACCGAAGCATTTTATGTACATCAGTAATTTGTTGATTGTAACAAACACAACGTTCCTGTAGATTGTTCTAAAACCATTATTTGGTCAACAGTAATAGCCTATGTATTTTGTTGATTCCTGCTATGAAATTAAAAATTGGCCTGTCCCTGTTTGCTATCGGCTTGCTGTGTGAGCGAGCTACTCTCACTCCCACTCCCCACTGTGTACATGGAGGAGGAACAGATGCATTCTGAGAAGCACAAGCATATGACTGTTGCTCAAAATGCAATTGCAGGAACATTTGTTTTCAATGTAACTGTTGTTCTAGTTACAGAGAGGAGAGTCACAGCTTTCTGTGAGTATATTATTTATTTCTCACCTCAAGAGTTCATGGCACCATTTCACAACCGGAGTAGGCTTTAGTATGGTTTTGATACATTTACTGATAGATTAATCAATTAGGCTACATGGCTAAATAGCAACATCATCATATTTAGAGTTAGCAATTTAGCTAAGTGTTTTGAGTTCCACTTCCTCAGGTAGTAAATAATATAGCGTATATGCCAATATGAACAAATGTCAGCAAATTCTCTGAAGAGCATCAAAGGAAACTGATAATTCTGGATCCTATTTTGACAGGTTGCACGTCAAAATATCAAATCATGCATTCCCTGGATATATTAGATGAAATAGCTTACTTTTTGAAAAAAATTTTCTCCGTTGTATTTACTGTTATCAAGCTAAATAGTTACATTCATCAGGATATATAGCCCAGCTGTAAAACAGATGAATCATTGTTTAACAGCACATGAACTGCACCTTTCAATTCTCATTGAATTTATTGCCCAATTCTCTGCTTGATATATTTTCGTATACACAGAGCCGCAAACCAAATTTCCCCATCATAAAGTAATTCATTATCTTATCTTACCTTGAAGAGGGAGTGACCTGGGTGTTACTGTGTTGGGGGGATTCCGATGCGGAGGGGGGGCCTTCCTCGCCCTCGCCGTCCTGGGGCAGCTCCTCACACGCCTCTAATTTCTCATCGTCCAGGAGCTCAGTGATCTGCAGGAGAGAGAGAAGGGTCGGGGACATTTTAGAAGGGGGGCACTCCACTCCAACAGCTGCCATTTCATAGAAGTAGGCTAGGAGTTTTAAGTATCATCATACATGACACCTCTGACAGGACACACTGACTGAGCATTACCACTACAAACTGTGCCACCCAGACAACAACATGTAATACAGTGGTAGGGCTGACCCCAATTAGTCGACTGGTCGATTGTTTGGTCGATAGGCTGTTGGTCGACCAAGATTTTTTTTAGTCGAGCAGTAGCAAATGAATAAATACAATATATATAGAAATATATATCTTCCCAGTCAAAAGTTTGGACACACCTACTCATTCAAGGGTTTTTATTTTTACTACTCTCTACATTGTAGAATAATAGTGAAGACATCAAAACTATGAAATAACACATATGGAATCAAAAAATGTAGTAACCAAAAAAAAAAGTGTTCAAACAAATCAAAATATATTTTATATACTTTAGATTCTTCAAAGTAGCCACCCTTTGCCTTGATGGCAGCTTTGCACACTTGGCATTTTCTCAACCAGCTTCATGAGGAATGCATTTCCAACAGTCTTGAAGGAGCTCCCACATATGCTGAGCACTTGTTGGCTGCTTTTCCTTCACTCTGCGGTCCAACTCATCCCAAACCATCTCAATTGGGTTGATTGTGGAGGCCAGGTCATCTGATGCAGCACTCCATCACTCTCCATCTTGGTCAAATAGCCCTTACACAGCCTGGAGGTGTGTTGGGTTATTGTCCTGTTGAAAAACAAATGATAGTCCCACTAAGCCCAAACCAGATGGGATGGCGTATTGCTGCAGAATGCTGTGGTAGCCATGCTTGTTAAGTGTGCCTTGAATTGTAAATAAATCACAGACAGTGTCACCAGCAAAGCAGCCCACACCATCACACCACCTCCTCCATGCTTCATCGTGGGAACCACACATGCGGAGATCATCCGTTCACCTACTCTGCGTCTCACAAAGACACAGTGGTTGGAACCAGAAATCTCAAATTTGAACTCATCAGACCATAGCTCGTGTTTCTTGGCCCAAGCAAGTCTCTTCTTCTTATTGGTGTCCTTTAGTAGTGGTTTATTTGCAGCAATTCGACCATGAAGGCCTGAATCACGCAGTCTCCTCTGAACAGTTGATGTTGAGATGTGTTACTTGAACTCTGTTTAGCATTTATTTGGGCTGCAATCTGAGGTGCAGTTAAGTCTAATGAACTTATCCTCTGCAGCAGAGGTAACTCTGGGTCTTCCTTTCCTGTGGCGGTCCTCATAAGAGCCAGTTTCATCATAGTGCTTGATGTTTTTTGCGACTGCACTTGAAGAAACTTTAAATGTTCTTGAAATTTTCCAAATTGACTTACCTTCATGTCTTAAAGTAATGATGGACTGTCGTTTCCCTTTGCTTATTTGAGCTGTTTCTGCCATAATATGGACTTCGTCTTTTAGCAAATAGGGCTATCTTCTGTGGTCCTCTGTAGCTCAGCTGGTAGAGCATGGCGCTTGTAACGCCAGGGTAGTGGGTTCTATCCCCGGGACCACCCATACACAAAAATGTATGCACGCATGACTGTAAGTCGCTTTGGATAAAAGCGTCTGCTGAATGGCATATTATCATCATCATATTATTATTATTATTATTATTATTATAATACCACCCCTACCTTGTCACAACAACTGATTGGCTCAAACACATTAAGAAGGAAAGATATTCCACAAATTAACAAGGCACACCTGTTAATTGAAATGCATTCCAGGTGACTACATCATGAAGCTGTCATCAGTGTGCAAAGCTGTCATCAAGGCAAAGGGAGGCTACTTTGAAGAATCTCAAAAATAAAATATATTTTGATTTGTTTAACACAGCTGATTTTTTATGGAATATCTACATAGGCGTACAGAGGCCCATTATCAGCAACCATCAGTCCTGTGTTCCAATGGCACGTTGTGTTCACTAATCCAAGTTTATCATTTTAAAAAGGCTAACTGATCATTAGAATCACTCCCACTCCTCTTTCTATTCTGTGAAGGGAGTAGTACACAGCGTTGTACGAGATCTTCAGATTTTACTGTCTATATTTGGAAAAATCCACATTTAAACATTTCGACCAATCGACAGCCCTATACAGTCGAGGTCAAAAGTTTTGAGAATGACACAAATACTAATTTTCACAAAGTCTGCTGCCTCAGTTTTGATGATGGCAATTTGCATATACTCCAGAATGTCATGAAGAGTGATCAGATGAATTGCATTTAAATTGCAAAGTCCCTGTTTGCCATGAAAATGAACTTAATCCCAAAAAAACATTTCCACTGCATTTCAGCCCTGCCACAAAAGGACCAGCTGCCATCATGTCAGTGATTCTCTCGTTAACACAGGTGAGTGTTGACGAGGACAAGGCTGGATATCACTCTGTCATGCTGATTGAGTTAGAATAACAGACTGGAAGCTTTAAAAGGAGGGTGGTGCTTGAAATCATTGTTCTTCCTCTGTTAACTATGGTTACCTGCAAGGAAACACGTGCAGTCATCATTGCTTTGCACAAAAAGGGCTTCACAGGCAAGGATATTGCTGTTAGTAAGATTGCACCTCAATCAACCATTTATCGGATCATCAAGAACTTCAAGGAGAGAGGTTCAATTGTTGTGAAGAAGGCGTCAGGGCGCCCAAGAAAGTCCAGCAAGCGCCAGGACCTTCTCCTAAAGTTGATTCAGTTGCGGGATCGGGGCACCACCAGTGCAGAGCTTGCTCAGGAATGGCAGCAGGCAGGTGTGAGTGCATCTGCACGCACAGTGAGGCGAAGACTTTTGGAGGATGGCCTGGTGTCAAGAAGGGCAGCAAAGAAGCCACTTCTCTCCAGGAAAAACATCAGGGACAGACTGATATTCTGCAAAAGGTACAGGGATTGGACTGCTGAGGACTGGGGTAAAGTCATTTTCTCTGATGAATCCCCTTTCCGATTGTTTGGGGCATAAATAAGTGATAACTAAGTGGCTCGGGGAACAAAACATCGACATTTTGGGTCCATGGCCAGGAAACTCCCCCAGACCTTAATCCCATTGAGAACTTGTGGTTGATCCTCAAGAGACAGGTGGACAAACAAAAACCCACAAATTCTGACAAACTCCAAGCATTGATTATGCAAGAATGGGCTGCCATCAGTCAGGATGTGGCCCAGAAGTTAATTGACAGCATGCCAGGGCGGATTGCAGAGGTCTTGAAAAAGAAGGGTCAACATTGCAAATATTGACTCTTTGCATAAACGTAATGTAATTGTCAATAAAAGCCTTTGACATTTATGGAATGATTGTAATTATACTTCAGTATACCATAGTAACATCGGACAAAAATATCTCATAACACTGAAGCAGCGAACTTTGTGGAGACCAATACTTGTGTCATTCTCAAAACCTTTGACCACGACTGTACAGTGGGGTCCGGAATTATTGGATCCCTTGATGAAGATGAGCAAAAAAGTATGAAATAAATAATAGAAATACTGAAGTATATTATATGCTCAGAGGCCATATGACATGAAAATAAAAAGGTATTTGTCAATGCACACCAGCGGTGGGTTTGGCTTTCGAAAAAACAATGCATATGCAGAAAATACCTCATCCCTACTCTAAAATATGGTGGTGGATCTTTGATGTTATGGGGCTATTTTGCCTCAACAATGGCCCCAGGACCAGTGAAGGTCAACCGCATAATGAATTTTACCCAGTACCAGGATATTTTTGCCAAAAACTTGGATGCCTTGCAAGGAAGCTGAAACGGAAGTAGATCTTCCAGCAAGACAATAAACCCAAGCACATATCAAAATCTACAAATAAATGGTTAATTGACCACAAAATGTACATTTTGCAATGGCCATCTCAGTCTCCGGACTTGAATGCCATTGAAAACCTGTGGTATGAATTGAAGAGGGCAGTCCCATAAGTGCAGACAAAATACACTGCTCAAAAAAATAAAGGGAACACTAAAATAACACATCCTAGATCTGAATGAATGAAATAATCTTATGAAATACTTTTTTCTTTACATACCGGTAGTTGAATGTGCTGACAACAAAATCACACAAATTATCAATGGAAATCAAATGTATCAACCCAAGGAGGTCTGGATTTGGAGTCACCCTCAAAATTAAAGTGGAAAACCACACTACAGGCTGATCCAACTTTGATGTAATGTCCTTAAAACAAGTCAAAATGAGGCTCAGTAGTGTGTGTGGCCTCCACGTGCCTGTATGACCTCCCTACAACGCCTGGGCATGCTCCTGATGAGGTGGCAGATGGTCTCCTGAGGGATCTCCTCCCAGACCTGGACTAAAGCATCTGCCAACTCCTGGACAGTCTGTGGTGCAACGTGGCGTTGGTGGATGGAGCGAGACATGATGTCCCAGATGTGCTCAATTGGATTCAGGTCTGGGGAACGGGCGGGCCAGTCCATAGCATCAATGCCTTCCTCTTGCAGGAACTGCTGACACACTCCAGCCACATGAGGTCTAGCATTGTCTTGCATTAGGAGAAACCCAGGGCCAACCGCACCAGCATATGGTCTCACAAGGGGTCTGAGGATCTCATCTCGGTACCTAATGGCAGTCAGGCTACCTCTGGCGAGCACATGGAGGGCTGTGCGGCCCTCCCAAAGAAATGCCACCCCACACCATGACTGACCCACCGCCAAACCGGTCATGCTGGAGGATGTTGCAGGCAGCAGAACGTTCTCCACGGCGTCTCCAGACTCTGTCACGTCTGTCACATGTGCTCAGTGTGAACCTGCTTTCATCTGTGAAGAGCACAGGGCGCCAGTGGCGAATTTGCCAATCTTGGTGTTCTCTGGCAAATGCCAAACATCCTGCACGGTGTTGGGCTGTAAGCACAACCCCCACCTGTGGACGTCGGACGCCCTCATACCACCCTCATGGAGTCTGTTTCTGACCGTTTGAGCAGACACATGCACATTTGTGGCCTGCTGGAGGTCATTTTGCAGGGCTCTGGCAGTGCTCCTCCTGCTCCTCCTTGCACAAAGGCGGAGGTAGCGGTCCTGCTGCTGGGTTGTTGCCCTCCTACGGCCTCCTCCACGTCTCCTGATATACTGGCCTGTCCCCTGGTAGCGCCTCCATGCTCTGGACACTACGCTGACAGACACAGCAAACCTTCTTGCCACAGCTCGCATTGATGTGCCATCCTGGATGAGCTGCACTACCTGAGCCACTTGTGTGGGCTGTAGACTCCGTCTCATGCTACCACTAGAGTGAAAGCACCGCCAGCATTCAAAAGTGACCAAAACATCAGCCAGGAAGCATAGGAACTGAGAAGTGGTCTGTGGTCACCACCTGCAAAACCAGTCCTTTATTGGGGGTGTCTTGCTAATTGCCTCCAATTTCCACTTGTTGTCTATTCCATTTGCACAACAGCACGTGAAATGTATTGTCAATCAGTGTTGCTTCCTAAGTGGACAGTTTGATTTCACAGAAGTGTGATTGACTTGGAGTTACATTGTGTTGTTTAAGTGTTCCCTTTATTTTTTTGAGCAGTGTATATTAAGGATCTGGAAAGATTCTGTATGGAGGAATGGGCTAAGATTCCTCCCAATGTGTTCTCCAATCTCATAAAACATTTGAGAAAAAGGGTCAGTGCAGTTATTCTCACAAGGTGAGGTATTGAAAACAGGGGTACCAAATGTTGACCCCCATCTTTTGGAGAGAAAATATATTAGTTGTTCAACAAAATATTTATCTGATCAAATGTATTAGTATCAAATAATAAAACAAAATTGCATACAATATAACTCAGTATTTCTATTATTTATTTTATAGTCTTTTTTTTTTCCTTTTTCTTTTTACATCTTTATCAAATGGTGCCAATAATTTGACCCGACTGTATATAGACAGTCTGCAAACAAAGCATCTCTTATGCAGGACAGGTCATGTGGGCTCAGATGTTTTCTATGTACACAGGGAGACTATAAACACCAAGACATCTGTTACAATTACCAATTAGTGCTTGCTGCTGTACATTTTCAGCCAGGATGGCTGTTCCACGAATAGCAATAGGTCTCAACTGAATCAGTTGAGTTGACATCCCTTGAAATGTACCTAACGTTAGATGTTGACACTGCAGTCGGTGCAGAGCCTGCTGCTAATATGGTGGGAGCTAGATTACATTGTACAAGATGTTCCATAAAGATCTAAAGATAGATCACACCATTCACCACCTTGGTTGAAAATTGTTCCGTGCCCTATGTTTAATGTCATAATTGCAAGGAGAGAGAGACTCGGTGGGGTAACCTACAGCGCAGTCGGAAAGTATTCAGAAACGGACTTTCTCCACATTTTGTTAAGTTACAGCCTTATTCTAAAATTGATTAAATTGTTTTACACACAATACCCCATAATGACAAAGCAAAAACTGGTTTTCATAAATGTTTGCAAACTTATTACAAAGAAAAAACTGAAACGTCACATTTACATACAGTGGGGAAAAAAAGTATTTAGTCAGCCACTATTTGTGCAAGTTCTCCCACTTAAAAAGATGAGAGAGGCCTGTAAATTTCATCATAGGTACACGTCAACTATGAAAGACAAATTGAGAAAAAAAAATCCAGAAAATCACATTGTAGGATTTTTTATGAATTTATTTGCAAATTATGGTGGAAAATAAGTATTTGGTCACCTACAAACAAGCAAGATTTCTGGCTCTCACAGACCTGTAACTTCTTCTTTAAGAGGCTCCTCTGTCCTCCACTCGTTACCTGTATTAATGGCATCTGTTTGAACTTGTTATCAGTATAAAAGACACCTGTCCACAACCTCAAACAGTCACACTCCAAACTCCACTATGGCCTAGACCAAAGAGCTGACAAAGGACACCAGAAACAAAATTGTAGACCTGCACCAGGCTGGGAAGACTGAATCTGCAATAGGTAAGCAGCTTGGTTTGAAGAAATCAACTGTGGGAGCAATTATTAGGAAATGGAAGACATACAAGACCACTGATAATCTCCCTCGATCTGGGGCTCCACGCAAGATCTCACCCCGTAGGGTCAAAATGATCACAAGAACGGTGAGCAAAAATCCCAGAACCACACGGGGGGACCTAGTGAATGACCTGCAGAGAGCTGGGACCAAAGTAACAAAGCCTACCATCAGTAACACACTACGCCGCCAGGGACTCAAATCCTGCAGTGCGAGACGTGTCCGCCTGCTTAAGCCAGTACATGTCCAGGCCCGTCTGAAGTTTGCTAGAGTGCATTTGGATGATCCAGAATAGGATTGGGAGAATGTCATATGGTCAGATGAAACCAAAATAGAACTTTTTGGTAAAAACTCAACTCGTCGTGTTTGGAGGACAAAGAATGCTGAGTTGCATCCAAAGAACACCATTCCTACTGTGAAGTATGGGGGTGGAAACGTCATGCTTTGGGGCTGTTTTTCTGCAAAGGGACCAGGACGACTGATCCGTGTAAAGGAAAGAATGAATGGGGCCATGTATCGTGAGATTTTGAGTGAAAACCTCCTTCCATCAGCAAGGGCATTGAAGATGAAACGTGGCTGGGTCTTTCAGCATGACAATGATCCCAAACACACCGCCCGGGCAACGAAGGAGTGGCTTCGTAAGAAGCATTTCAAGGTCCTGGAGTGGCCTACCCAGTCTCCTGATCTCAACCCCATAGAAAATCTTTGGAGGGAGTTGAAAGTCTGTGTTGCCCAGCAACAGCCCCAAAACATCACTGCTCTAGAGGAGATCTGCATGGAGGAATGGACCAAAATACCAGCAACAGTGTGTGAAAACCTTGTGAAGACTTACAGAAAACGTTTGACCTGTGTCATTGCCAACAAAGGGTATATAACAAAGTATTGAGAAAGTTTTGTTATTGACCAAATACTTATTTTCCACCATAATTTGCAAATAAATTCATAAAAAATCCTACAATGTGATTTTCTGGATTTTTTTTCCTCATTTTGTCTGTCATAGTTGACGTGTACCTATGATGAAAATTACAGGCCTCTCTCATCTTTTTAAGTAGGAGAACTTGCACAATTGGTGGCTGACTAAATACTTTTTTTCCCCACTGTAAGTATTCAGCACCTTTGGCAGCGATTACAGCCTCTTCTTGGGTATGATGCTACAAGCTTGGCACACCTGTATTTGGGGAGTTTCTCCCATTCTTCTCTGCAGATCCTCTCAAGCTCTGTCAGGTTGGATGGGGGGCGTCACTGCACAGCTATTTTCAGGTCTCTCCAGAGATGTTAGATCAGGTTCAAGTCTGAGCTCTGGCTGGGCCACTCAAGGACATTCAGAGACTTGTCCCCAAGCCACTCCTGCGTTGTCTTGGCTGTTAGCTTAGGGTTGTTGTCCTGTTGGACGGTGAACCTTCGCCCCAGTCCGAGGTCCTGAGCGCGCTGGAGCAGGTTTACCATCAAGGATCTCTCTGTACTTTGCTCCATTCATATTTCCCTCAATCCTGATTAGTCTCCCAGTCCCTGCCGCTGAAAAACATCCCCACCGCATGATGCTGCCACCCCCATGCTTCACCGTAGGGATGGTGCCAGGTTTCCTCCAGACGTGGCGCTTGGCATTCAGGCCAAAGTGTTCAATCTTGGTTTCATCAGACCAGAGAAACTTGTTTCTCATGGACTGAGAGTCCTTTAGGTGCCTTTTGGCAAACTCCACGCGGGCTGTCATGTGCCTTTTACTGAGGAGTGGCTTCCGTCTGGCCACTCTACTATAAAGGCCTGATTGGTGGAGTGCTGCAGAGATGGTTGTCCTTCTGGAAGGTTCTCCGATCTCCACAGAGGAATTCTGGAGCTCTGTCAAAGTGACCATCGGGTTCTTGGTCACCTCCCTGAGCAAGGCCCTTCTACCTCGATTGCGCAGTTTGGCCGGGCTGACAGCTCTAGGGAGATTCTTGGTGGTTCCAATCTTCTTCCATTTAAGAATAATGGAGGCCATTGTGTTCTTGGGGACCTTTCCCCAGATCTGTGCCTCGACACAATCCTGTCTCGGAGCTCTATGGACAATACCATTGACCTCACGGCTTGGTTTTTGCTCTGACATGCACGGTCAACTGTGGGACCTTTATAGACAGGTGTGTGCCTTTCCAAATCATGTCCAATGAATTGAACTTACCCCAGGTGGACTCCAATCAAGCTGTAGAAACATCTCAAAGATGATCAATGGAAACAGGATGCAGCCGAGCTCAATTTCGAGTCTAATAGCAAAAGGTCTGAATAATTATGTAAATAAGGTATTTCTGTTTTTTAAATAAATTTGCCATTGTCATTATGGGGTATTGTGTAGATGATTGAGAATGTTTTATATAATCAATTTTAGTATAAGGCTGTAACGTAACAAAATGTGGAAAAAGTCAAGGGCTCTGAATACTTTCCAAATGCACTGTAACTGAGAATAGGAATGATTCCTAATAGATATTCTGTGTGTCTTCGGTTGCGTTTACAGAGGCAGCTCAATTTGTATATCATCTTTCACTAATTGGTCTTGAATAATCAGATCAGCGCTGAAAAAGATCTGATGTGATTGGCCGAAAAAGTTCTGAATTCAGCTGCCTGTGTAAATGCAGCATATAAGACAACGCATTCCCCTCCTCATGTTCTGAGATGTTTCAGAACCCATAAACGCTGACTTACTCTCTCTCTCTCTCTCTCTCTCTCTCTCTCGCTCTCCCCCTCGCCAACCGCATCTGCTGCTGCCGTGTCACAGCCATATTACCACAGCAACAGCTCCCTGACACCTCTGATTGGATTTCAGGGCCTTGTCCCTCATTGTGTATGCAGATGGTTATGACTAATGGTTTTGTGTTGTCATGGCGGCGGTATCTGTCCATTGGCTGTAGTCTAGCAACAGAAAGACAGAGCCCAGGGGAGAGGATTCTCACACTAACGGATTAGACCCGTTTATCCACATCAACAAAGACCAGAACATTGAGCATTTCTCCAAAAGGTTAAATATACTGAAATGGGAGACTACTAAAGATATCTGAGCAGAAAAAGAGATCACACTTAAAAAGGTCTCTAGTGGATGAATGGGGAGTCAAAGTAATCTTCGTGTTTTATAACACCAGGTCCTGACAGCTATAAATGCTCACAATGTGTTACAGAGACCATGGAACATTCTCCACAAGCTTTTCATAAACCGCCGGGTGTGGACAATGATTATAATGCATTGAGAATTACCTACAACCATTTCCCATGTCAAATTCAGATGTAGAAATTCTTGATTCTACTCAATTTCTGTTGATTGTTTTCTCAAGTTCTGAATATCTTTCTCAAAAGTATGGAATATTCATCCAAAATATTAAGTCATAGGGTAATCAATGTTATCGTCTACAGTGCCTTCAGAAAGCATTCATACCCCTTGACTTATTCCACATGTTGTGATACAGCCAAAACTCAAAATGGATTAAATTGATTTATTTTCTCACACACACAATACCCCATAATGACAAAGTGAAAACTGTTAGAAATGTTTGCACATTTATTGAAAACGAAATACAGAAATATCTCAATTACATAAGTATTCACACCCCTGAGTAAATACTTTTTAGAAGCACCTTTGGCAGCGATCACAGCTGTGAGTCTTTCTGGGTAAGTCTCTAAGAGCTTTCCACACCTGGTTTGTGCAACATTTGTCCATTATTCTTTTCAAAATTCTTCAAGCACTGTCAAATTGGTTGTTGATCATTGCTAGACAACCATTTTCAGGACTTGCCATAGATTTTCAAGTAGATTTAAGTCAAAACTAACTCGGCTACTCAGGAACATTCACTGTCTTCTTGGTAAACAACTCCACTGTAGATTTGGCCTTTTAGGTTATTGGCCTGCTGAAAGGCAAATTCATCTCCCAGTGTCTGGTGGAAATCAGACTGAACCAGGTTTTCCTCTAGGATTTTGCCTGTGCTTAGCTCCATTCCATTTCTTTTTTATCCTGAAAAACTCCCCAGTCCTTAACGATTACAAGTATACCCATAACATGACGCAGCCACCACTACGCATGAAAATAAGGAGAGTGGTACTCAGTAATATGTTCTACAGGATTTGCCTCAAACATAACACTTTGTATTCAGGACAATACGTTTTCTGCTTTGCCACATGTTTTGCAGTATTACTTTAATGCCTTGTTGCAAACAGGATGTATGTTTTGGAATATTTTTTATTCTGTGCAGGGTCTCTTCTTTTCATTCTGTCAATTAGGTTAGTATTGTGGAGTAACTACCATGTTGTTGATCCATCCTCAGTTGTTTTGTCCCATCACAGCCATTCAACTCTGTAACTGTATTAAAGTCACCATTGGCCACATGGTGATATCCCGGAGCTGTTTCCTTCCTCTCCAGCAATGGAGTTAGGAAGGACGCCTGTATCTTTGTAGTGATTATTACTGAACACAGTGAGTCCATGCAACTTAAGCACATTTTTACTACTGAACTTACTTAGGCTTGCCATAACAAAGGGGTTGAATACTTATTTACAAGACATTTCAGTTTTTTATTTAATTCATTTGTAAACATTTCTAAAAACATAATTCCACTTTGACATTATGGTGTATTGTGTGTAGGCCAGTGACAAAAAAATCTCTATTTAATCTATTTTAAATTCAGGCTGTAACAACAAAACGTGGAAAAATTCAATGAGTGTGAATAGTTTCTGAAGGCACTGTATATGCTAAACAAGGGAGGAGGAAGCCATGCGTTCATATTATGTAATCTCGGTTAACCCAGAACTAGTGTCTTGTGTAATTGGTCAGACGCTCAATTAAGTTATGGGTCCATGCGTGTTCAAGTAAAGATTCACCCATTTTGAATGTTATATTGTTTTTGTGCATCTCTGAGTGATGTTCCCTGGGTCAATTCATGTGTATCTGAGATATTCCCGTTCTAGCAGGCAGAAACTTGGTCGGTATGACGTAGCATTAAGATAAAGCCGCTCACTTCACTGGATGTTAAAAGGAATGAGACTTTTAGATTGCGAAAACGTCTATTATACATGTCAGATTTCATAAGCCATTGATCATATTTTTTTCAGGCCAAAGATTTCAATTTTTGTCTCATCAGACCACTGAATATTTTGCCTGAAGCTCTGTCTATCACATGGCTTTTTGCAAACACCAGGCGTGCTGTCATGTGCCCTGTTCTTAGGAGTGGCTTTCCTTTGGCCATTCTTCCATAAAGCCCAGATTGGTGAAGTGCTGTAGAGACTCAGCCAAGGAAATTCCACAAATTAACTTTTTAAGAAGGCAAACCTGTTAATTGAAATGAATTCCAGGTGACTACCTCATGAAACTGGTTGAGAGAATGCCAAGAGTATGCAAAGGTGTCATCAAGGCAAAGGTTGGCTATTTGAAGAATCTCAAATATAAAATATATTTTGATTTGTTAACACTTTTTTGGTTACAACATGATTCCATGTGTGTTATTTCATAGTTTATGTCTTCACTATTATTCTACAATGTAGAAAATTGTAAAAATTAAGAAAACCCCTTGAATGAGTAGGTGTCCAAACTTTTGACTGGTACTGTATATAATTGGGATTTCTTTATTTCATTTTCAAAAAAATTATAAAAACATGTTTTCACTTTGTCATTATGGGGTATTGTGTGTAGATGGGTGAGAAAATTTTTTTTCTTCATTTAAATCATTTAGAATTCAGGCTGTAACAAAATGTGGAATAAGTCAAGGGGTATGAATACTTCATGAAGGAACTGTACAGCATTTGTATGATTTCAAAAAGTTTCCTATGGAGGATTGACAGTATAATTTAGAACAGATATTCCCATTCAAACATTCTCTGATGTGTGGACCATCTTTGTGGTACCATTTGAAAGTAGATATTTCTATTTGATTCCCATTTTAGTACATTTATCAGCCAAAACATGACACCCACCCTGTATTCAAGAGCATGTCGTGTCTCAAACGATGGCGGGCACAACACAAAACCCCCAGATTATGTAAAATAGGGTCAAAGCTAAAACATATGCAAATATGAAAGAAAAAAAAATATCATAGTTTACATTTAATGTAAAACATTTTTTATATAGAATTTTTCAAATAGTTTGCTATAATTTAAAAACGTACAAACAGGGTTGTCAATCTTAACCGGTTATCTTTTCCAGTGATGATGACATGGATGTCTCATGGTATGGTGAGGTATGCAAAATAGGTCAACTTTGAGCACATTTATCTCTTGAATGTTTTCAGGTCTAGAGAGAAAAATGACCCAAAACACACCTCCAGGCTGTATAAGGGCTATTTGACCAAGGAGAGTGATGGAGTGCTGCATCAGATGACCTGGCCTCCACAGTCACCTGACCTCAACCCAATTCAGATGTTTGGGCACATTTATTTCTTAACGGTTTTTAGGTCTAGAGAAAAAAAAAATTTGGGGGGAGGTTCTCTTCTGCACTGTTCAACTAATCCAGTAAATGTGGAGAAGATGGAGTACCGCCTTCTTACCGTCCAAAAAAAAAAAAGTCGTATCACAGACTCTTTCTATTTACCCTGAAAACCGGATGCATATGGTTGTACCGACCGCACTGAGGGTGGCTAAAGGATTAAATGTTTCAGAAAGAGGGCTCTGTGAGTAAACCGCTCAGCCCGAGCAAGTCTGCCAGCTCACTAAGGACCAGCGGGCAGAGACAAGAATGTGAGGAACAAAAGGGCATAACCTTGGCCTGTGTGTGTGCGTGCGTGCGTGTGTGTGTGTAGCCTGCTTCAGGACAGGACTGGCTAGGGCTAGAGCAGGGGTTCACAAACGTTTTCACTCAGGGCCCCCCTTCCAGCATTGGGGAACATTCCGCGCGTACACGCCATGTCTATTTCTATGGCACTGTTCATGACAAACTGTTCACAACCCTCTTGTTGGTGGAAAGAATTTTGCAGGTTTAAAGATTATCTTCTGCAATTCTACACATTTCATCATGGGGTGCAACAATAATTTTGCAGTTTTAAAGCTAATCTTCTTGCAATTCTAAACATTTTGCCATGTCTAATGTGTATTCCTGTAATATTTGATTACAACAATATCTATGGGCAAAATAATTGAAATAAAAAAAAGTTAGCTAACATGGGCTAATTAATCTAGGACAATTAAGACTGATGATGCCATCACAGCTCTGGAAGTGCTAAGGGCCATAGGCGAGAGAGAGAGAGCCCCATAAGGATGTGGAGGAGGAGTGCAGCCATCAGGTCTGAGCAAGAGATTAGCATCTTAAGTCTTAACTAAAACATTCCTCTCCTTTGCTATTTAGCACTTCAAAAAGGCGCAAATTAAAAAGGTGTCAGACATGGCAAGGTATGACTGGGTTTGACTTGATTTATTAGGATCCCCATTAGCCGACCCCAATGGCGACAGCTAGTCTTACTGGAGGTGGAGCATTAGCAAATAAAATAAACAATTGAATAGATGACAGCATAATATTCACTCAAATTCCCCTGCCTTTGGTTTCACTCTTGCAAGAGTAGTAGGTATGCGGTTCCAAAATAGCCTACTACCACTGGGGGAAAAGCAGCCGCAGGCGGTGACTTTCTGGATGCATGCATACTGTAGAGCCCTATAAAATCAGTTATTTGTTGCCTGATCTTTTTTCTCCATTTAGTTTTTCAAGGTTTCCGTTTTTCACTTCTCTTTTAAGGTTCTCTCTCAAAATCACACCTTTTTTTAAATAGAAAAACAAAAGTGGATGTTCTAAGTCCACAACAATGCGTAAACCACATCAGGAGACCACCTTTGAGGTCTGGGAAAAATAAGACATTTAGATTTTTGGTTGTAGTTAACCTTTAATGCAAGTGTGCACCAGCATAAGACTATTGTTTGGTTAGCAATGTTTCTTTAGCTTTAATTGCAGAGTTTGCATCAATCCAGCGGCCAATTGTTTTGCAAATTATCATGATATCATTCTGCCAGGCATAGGCTACTTTTAAGTTAACATTTATTTGAAAAGTCTTTCCAACTATACCAGAAGGACGTTATCAATAGCATCATCGCTAACGGCTACACAAAGTGGGGCATTCCTGTGCCGTTTCAGAAAGTTACAGGAAAATATGAATCATTTTGTTAATGTCTTATGATTAACTTTGGCAAATTCATGATTTTTCTAATAAGTTCAATACATTTAGTTGATTTCCTAATAAGTTCACATTTTTTAATATTGTTGAATTCCGTTTTAATTTCTGGATTCCGTGATTCCGTCCGCAACACAGATTTTATAGGGCCCCCACAGGTGCCATATGCCTTGCCTGTAAAAAAAATGCCCTATCCCAGGCTAAAGTAGAGCAGCTTCATCAATTGGCCAGAGAAAGGTATCTTATGTAGAACAGGCCTGGAGGGAGACGATGGGTGATGGTAATGTCCCCATCTCAACCAGCCATTCCAGCAGCAGAATTGGGAGAAGCTGAGAGGAGAGAGGCCGGCAGGGAACCTGAGATTTATGCCTGGATTAATTACCAGGGACCCTTGTGAGCTGTCAAGTGCTCCTCCGCTACCCTGGCTCAACTCCAACTGGGTTCCTGCTTCCTTTTTCAATTAGCTGCCTACCTACAAGCGTTCCTCTCCTACTCCACAGCAGCACAACACTGAACCTCCTCGACCCTGCAAAGCTGCAGCAGCAGCAGCCTTCCTCAGAATAGGATGACCCTGCCTTATTCAGATGAGACCGTCACTGTGCAGCAGGATGACTTTTCCTAGGAACAACACAGCTCAGTCCCTCCCAGTTATGACTAGCCCAGTCCTGCCTCAAGGCTCTAGACTACTACTACTCCTGATGAAATGCAGTGAAACTAAAAGGCAAGGAAGCACTTCCCACTCCGCCCTATGGTCTCTGGCCAGGCAGGATGGAATAAGCACTGCTGGCTGCGGTGTGAGGGTGACTTAGCCTGGCCTGGATAGTCAGTCCGTCAGGAAACCCAGACGTCCCCGGAGATGGCCGCAGGTGTCTGATCCACAGTTACATCACCATGGTTACGCAAGCACAGCGGTTACACATTTTTCTTCTTTCAGAACAGAGGGCCATTTCTGAACAGCCTTTCCCTGAGCTATTCGGTCACAATACAGAGGGAGAAAATAGTCATATGGAAGGAATTTGTGGCTTATCATTGTCAGTTTCCTGTGTAAGAGAGTGCCTGCCTTTGGAACGCAAATATGAGGCCGCCACCGAGGATTAGGTCCAGATTTGAGAGGGTGCAGCAGCACATCTACCTAACGCTGATCTGAAGACTGCTGTGTGTGTGTGTGTGTCAGGGAGACATGGCTGAGAGGAGCTCATGAACACCCATTATCCCACTAAATGCTGGGAACTTCTGGAGCAACAATTGATACTTTATAAAGGCAGCCAGGCAGTCATAACTCAGAAGCCATTTCTCAGGCTCAGGACCATGACTGAGAACACTTGCTACTGACACACCTCTAGGCGTCTCCATGGGGAGTAGAAGGCTATTATAAAAAGGCATTCTCTCAACAGTTGTCTTTGGCTTGGGGAGGAAAAACAATCCTCAACATTTGACTGCCTTGAATAAACAACACAATTCCATAATCTCCATTTCTTAATCTCTAGTTTTTTCATGGCAGTGCCAGACTGAGAGTGGCTGGAATAATGTTAAAACCCTCTACTTCCTCATTACAGAAATACAACACAACATGTTTTCAGCTCAACAAATGAATGGCGGAAGGGAGTTACCTAATTATTACGTTAGGTAATAACAACCAAATACCATTATACCTTGACATACGGGCTCCCTACCTCCAAGCATTCAGCCTTTAACCCATGCAGCAGGGTGAGTGAGGTTGTACAGTGTATTCGGGAAGTATTCAGACCCCTTGACTTATTTTTAAATGGATTACATTCTTTTTTCCCCCCCTTATCAATCTACACACAGTACCCCATAATGACAAAGCAACAACTGGTTTTTAGAAATGTTTACTAATTTATATAAAAATAAAAAACGGAAATATCACATTTACATAAGTATTCAGACCCTTTACTCAGTACTTTGTTGAAGCACCCAGTCTGAGGTCCTGAGCGCTCTGGAGCTCATCAAGGATCTCTCTGTACTTTGCTCTGTTCATCTTACCCTCGATCCTGACTCGTCTCCCAGTCCCTGCTGCTGAAAAACATCCCTACAGCATGATGCTGCCCCAACAATGCTTCACCGTAGGGATGGTGCCAGGTTTCCTCCAGACGTGACGCTTGGCATTCAGGCCAAAGAGCTCAATCTTGGTTTCATCAGACCAGAGAATCTTGTTTCTCATGGTCTGAGAGTCCTTTAAGTGCCTTTTGGCAAACTCCAAGCAGGCTGTCATGTCCCTTTAACTGAGGAGTGACATCCGTCTGGTGGAGTGCTGCAGAGATGGTTGTCCTTCTGGAAGGTTCTCCAATCTCCACAGAGGAACTCTGGAGCTCTGTCCATCGGGTTCTTGGTCACCTCCCTGACCAAGGCCCTTCTCCCCCGATTGCTCAGTTTGGCCAGGTGGCCAGCTCTAGGAAGAGTCTTGGAGGTTCCAAACTTCTTCCATTTAAGAATGATGGAGGCCACTGTGTTCTTGGGGACCTTCAATGTTGCAGACATTTTTTGGTACCCTTCCCCAGATCGGTGCCTCGACACAATCCTGTCTCGGGGCTCTACAGACAATTCCTTTGTGCTCGTGGGACCTTATATAGACAGGTGTGTGCCTTTCCAAAACATGTCCAATCAACTTAAATTTCAAGTTGTAGAAACATCAAGGATGATCAATGGAAACAGGATGCACCTGAGCTCAATTTCGAGTCTCATAGCAAAGGGTCTGAATACTTTTGTAAATAATTAATTTTTTATAAATTAGCAAACATTTCTATAAACCTGTTTTCAGTTTGTCATTATGGGATATTGTGTGTAGATTGATGAGGGCAAAAATGTATTTAACCCATTTCAGAATAAAATGTGGAAAAAGGGAAGGGGTCTGAATACTTTCCGAATGCTCTCTTGGGTAAATAAATTAAACTAGCTCCAGTAGGCTAATCTTTGAGTGTGAACTATATTACTGTATTGTATTATATGGACTGGAATTACACACATGATAAAGCAGGGAGGAAACATGCAATTCTGTTGCAGAGTTACAAAGTTAAATGTATAGGCTAGCGAATTTGATTTTGAAATATAATAGGGCCTATTTGTATAATTAGTAGGCTGACGCATATATACCTTTCATAATAATAATAATAATAATAATAATAATAAGCCATTTAGCAGACGCTTTTATCCAAAGCGACTTAATTTCCCCCCTAATGTTATTGGCCTACCTCCTCTTTTTCTCCATTGCTGCTTCATTCCTTCCTCGCTTTCAACAGTTAAATGAAATAATTTTAGTTGTCCTAATTTTCATAATTCTAATGACATCCTTGCATAATATAGGACTAGAATTAGATTCAGAAGGCTTTCACTTCTCTTCACGAAGATTGAATGGTTATGGTCTGAATAAATAACTGCTATAGCCTACCGCCATCGCATGTTCGCTCTTCTTTCAAACTACCTGTAAGTTCTATTGGCTGCTGTATTTAACATTTAGTAAACAAGAGCTTGCGTCCCTCTTCGAATAGTCTGTTGGTATCAGAAATGCTAAAAAAAATTATGTCCAGCAAGCTATTCTAGTCTAGCTTTTTCTGCATGGTACTCCATGCGCTAAGGAGTGTTTAAGGAGAGAGGCCAGCGGAGCACAGGTGCGTACTGCACAAGAGACAGAGGCTATAAGTTAGAAGCTTATTATGCATAACCCATCATTAATTAGCTAAATATAAGGCTAACACTGCATTGAATTTATTACCTGAAAGAGGTAGGCTAGGACATCTATATATAGGGCTATATATCATTCTAGAACAGGATTATCTAGTTTGGATGCAATTTGAATGGAGTTGATGGAAAGAGACAAAAACAGAGAGTGCTCGCGCATGCACTGATTTAAAGCAACGATATTCGAGTGATAGGCTGTTTTAAAACTGCAGCTGCAATAAATAAACAACATCTTTACAATTATAAAACAAGGTGACCCCCTAAAGCCAGATGGAGATGAGTAAATTAGACGCGGTTTCTGTCTGTATATTACTGTAGCATAGGACTATGCTGCAGCAAATGCAGGCCTCCCTGTCACAAGAAAAAAAGTGACCATGAGATACAGTAGGTCTACATGCATTATGAACTGTGCTCCATACTGAGATGGGCTGTCTGTCCCCACCCTGAGTGTTGATTCATCATGCAGAGGCCGTAGAGAAGCCAGATTTAGACATTGCATATAATTTAACAGTTCCATTTCCCGCCATGCTGTTTATATAAATAATTTATTATAATTTACTGGTTTCTAGCAGTTATTTATCCTGGGAAAAGTGAGTGGTTTTGGGCGGTAAATCTCGGTAACCAGGTTCCTGCCACTCAACCTATTGTAGACATGCTGCCCCAAAAGAGGGAATGAATGTTATCAGAAATCAGTTCTTAGATCATCATCATGTTTCTCCGCGATCGCTACATTGTAACATTGGGTCAGCAGAGTGCAGCAGCAGCTGATTCGGGAGGCTAATACAGTAGCTAGCTAGTTAGCCTTTGGTGGAAGCATTCAGCATTGTGTTTGCAGCACAAGGTAGCTGGTTGGTTAGCAGCATCCCATTTGTTTTATATGAAATGTGACTGGCTCAGCTAGCAAGTTTATGTTTGACAAATTTAAGCTAGCTTTCGTGCACATTGTAAATCTTCAGAAATACTGCTTGTTGAAGTATAAAACTCCTTTGCTAGATGTAAAATGGTGCGACTAAGATTTCTTCACCAACAAAAAAAACCATTGACAGATTTATTGTTTTAGCTTAGTTGAATTCAGACTGTTTAGAGGCAGAAATGGGGTTCGGCAGACGATGTAACCTAGGTAATATTTTTCAAATGCTATGACAACACGTTGTGGCCAAACTACTTCTGATCTATCCCATTACTCTTTGCGAGATACAAGATTGATCAGTGCAGGCAGATTCAACGCACTCTGACGCAAGACAATGGCCCAGAATAGAACATCTCTAGTGGGGAGAATAGGAGTGTCCTTACCTGTTCGTTGATGGAGCTGTAGTCGGTGGTGGAAACGTCATCGTCCTCCGAGTCAAAGAACTCCTCCTGATTCTCCAGCAGCTCCGCCAGGATGCGGCTCACCGACTCCTGCTCCTTCAGGTCCTCCACGTCCGTGTCTAAACTAGAGTTACAGAAGATATGACCTCAGATCAGCTGTTATCATAAACACACATCTGTGTCGGAACTACAATACACAGACAAGAAACGACCTTAGATCAGCTTTTATCACTACCATCCCACCTTACAATAATAAAGTCACTCACTGCATCATTAAGTTTGACTTTAATTTGAGTAATCGGACTCCACATCAGATGACTAAGAACTGGTTCTAGTAAGTACACAAAGATCAAATATTCATTTCACATAATTAGACAGAACAGCTGTTCTCTCCCTTAAGTCAATAGAACACGCCTGTTTTCAGAGCATTGGCCACAAACGATCTCTAGTCTAGAAGATTCTCTTATTATTATGCAACGCAAAGCAACTCCTCACGTGGCTGCAAACATGTCTAAGCGTGATCACCTGGGTGTGTTATTTATTTAATGACATAAATGAACATGTTACCAAATATAATTTCTGTTCTATAAGCACAACCTCCTGTGAGACTGCCAGCAATGTGAGATTGCCATTATGCATGTATGTACAAGTAGAAAATTGAACGCCAAGTACAAGTACTAAAGGCCTGTGGGGGTATGGATAGGCGAGGTGCTGTGTTGTTGTTGGCCTTACTGGAAGATGTCCGGTCCGAAAACGGCGGCGAGGGCGCCGACGCTCCAGCTTTCCTCCTGGAGCGAGGCCACGCTGGACAGGAAGCGGCACAGGAAGCGCAGCAGGCTGTAGTTAACCTGAGGCAGCTGCTGGAGGAAGTACTTCATGTTGCGGGCGAGCTCTTCCTCGCTGCTGTAGTCTGGACAACACACAACAGGGCATTAGAGATTGATGCTGCCAAGGGGAAAGTAGTAAGAGAGTCAGATGAGTGGAAAAAGACGGCGAAGAGAGAAGGAATAATGTGCAGCGCCTGTATTGGGAGTACAGGTCAGATAGACAGAAACAGAGGAGGATGATGAAGAGGAGGAGAATAACAATGAGGATGACTAAGATGAGCGTACCTTGGTAGAGCTGCAGGATGTGGGACTGCATGCCTGCAGGGATGATGGGCTCTGGGAGCTCCTGCAGGAAGAGACGCAGCAGGCTGACGGCAGAGGCCAGATCAGCCTCCTTCTCCAGGTCCACCTCCTCCCCAGAGTCATAGCGCTGCCGTAGCCATTCCACCCGCTCCGCGTTACCGTTGACTAGGAACAGCCCCTCCAAATCCAGACGCCCTGAGAGCAACACAGAGACACAGAGGATAGCAGTCAATCATTTGCTCTGTCTGCTCAACAGTTATAGATGAATGACTCCTCTCTGTGAGCATATCCAGGAGGACTGAATACAGCTTTTACTTTGAGTAGAATGGCTGCATTAATTTCTCAAACAGATTCCACACTGATTTTGTTACATGAATAAACTTAAGTTGAAAGCCTATTTTCTCAAATGGGTCAAATTTGCCCATTTCCCAGATTTGTTCAGTTGTACTACAATTTGTGCAGCTGTACTAAGCTCAATCACAGGGCATATTAATGTAAGGGAGGAAAGAATGTTGTTTTACCCACAATAGATGCGGTAAAGAGGTCAATCGAACGTGACCAACGCAATGGAATTGCCATGGAAACGCGTGGGGGAAAAGGGCCAAGGTGGGAAAGATCCCGAGTCTCCTCATTGCCCCTCAGCAAAATTTGCCCACATTTAGCCTATTGTTTATATGTGTATTTCACACTATGTTGAGGGAAAAATCTGAGTATAATGCTTGTATGGATGTCAACCCCAACACATGTTCATGTCATCATCACCAAATCAACTGTATTACAGTTAGAAAACTACTGACTACCACCACCTATTTCTGTATGCTAGCTATGATAACCAGCTGATACGAACGGGAGTTAGCATTTAGCAGTCACTTCTTCTAATCCTGAAAAGGGACGACTTATAAATGTTGTGCAGCTAAAACAGCCAAATATATCAAAATCGGACCCAAGTAACCACATTGTGGGCCTGTTACAAAACATAAATCATGACGGATGAGGAATATCCACTTTCTTAAATCAGATTTCTTGAATGTGTGCATTCCACTGACTTCTTTACCACATCTTTCCCATTCAATGTGTGTTGGTTGGTTGTGCTAGTGGTTTCCTGTTTCCAGATGCAGCGGCCAGATAGCCTCCTAGATGTCTGTTTAATTAATTCCCACTATTGAAGCTCAGGTTTGTTCCACCACAGAGAATGAGGAGATCTGCAACTAGGTGAGCTGCCTGGTTAAGGAAAACAGTGGGTGGGCGGTAAATGTAAGGCAGAATGCACTGGAATGCGCCTTGGCCCTTCCCACCCTAACCCCACTGGCCTGGGCCCCTACTGCAGCTTACAGAGGTCTCATTAAGTCACAATTATGGCATCCCGTTCTGAGTGCAAACAGACAGATGAAAGTATTTTCAATGCCTGATTAACTTCTGGACTGCAGAATTATCATTAATTTAATATGGCTGCAGGGGAATGAAAGGAGGTGTGTGTGTGTGTGGGGGGGGGGAAGGAGTCTAAAATGTTACACAACGGAGGAAGCTCATCTTTTTGATCGCAGTGCATTTAGAGTTCAGCTTATCAAAGAGAGGATCTCTCCAAACAACATATTTGGTTTATCGTGATGCAAGAAGAAGTCTTGGTTGACTGCAACTGTTCTTTTCTGATCGTCTTAAGCCACGCTCACTTGTTCGGCTAGGCCAGGGTGGGCAAACTTTGTCTCAAGGGCAACATCGGGATTTCAAATTTCTGTGTTTCTGACTTATTTGAAAATATAGGGCTATTACCATTTCTACATACTTTCTATCTAGTTTTAGACATTCCATTGTGGCCTGGAGTTTCTTTTTTATACATGTACCAAAAACAATCATCTCCCCCAACCCAAAGACAATATGTTTATGGCCATGGGCCGTGGTTTGCACACCCCTGGGCTAGGCTACATGGAACATGAACAGATTTTTTACAAATAATAATAATGCACACTATAATTTCATCTCTCTCTCTCTCATATATATATATATAATCTCTGCTTTGATGTAAAACAAGTAGGCGTCTCCAGTGGGGATTCATAAAAGAAGCTGAAATTATGACAGGTAAATCTACATCTAAAGTACCTGGGGGAGTTGTCAACACAAGCCATAACGACATAAAACAAGACAAAGTGGAAGAATAATGGGATTTAATGTGCACATAAAAATGTACTCTAAGGTAAATGTGAATCATTTGCCAGAGAGAGAGCATGTATTTTTTAGGTCCCATTCATGAAGCTCTCCTGTGTCGCGCTCGGTAGATAAGCACAAACACTAAATAAGTTATTGGACAAGGTAGTGGCTCCCGTTTGTTGCCTAAGGGATACCTCTGTAGTTAGAGCGTGCCACTCACCGTGCTCCTCGATGTACTCTACGATGTGCCTGACCAGTAGGGGGACCTCCTGGCCTGGCTGGCCTCTCTGCTGCACCTCATCTAGGGGAACCCCAAAAACCCTGGCTGGTGTCAGGGAGTCGCTGGGGGAAGGAGAGAGGCTCTTCCTCATCGCTTCCACAGCCGAGCTGCTTCCGAAGGTCTGGACACCCGCCGCCGCCAAACCACACAGAGGAGAGAGAGAGGCAGATACACTGTCACAGGCTATGCTCTCCATCCGACATACATATACAAACACACACACAGGGCGGACGCCGGGGCAGGTCCCAGCATTATACAGATGAAATCTGATCGGGACCCATCTGACCCGTCCCTCCCTGCCTGTGTAGTTATTAGGCTAGCTCGGAGCCAGTAGGTTATGTAAGTAGGGTGAGAGTCATGTGCAAGTGTGTCTGACAGCCATCAGAACAGGCATGTTTACAATGCTAACGGGAGCAGGTGCCTGGGCTTGGAGAGTTTGAGCGCTAGCTACGCTACATTTCAGTGACAGGCTTCAATGATCGGTGCCGTATTAAACAAACACACACCGACCAGGCTAGCGGACCTCTCTAAAGATAGGCTCTGCTACAGGTCAGCCGGGGCATATTAGGCTGTGAAAACAAATACTGATCCATCCAGACATCAATTACTGACTGCAGTTTTAAAATCACAGGAGTGTGTTGTAGGCTGTGTTGGAATGATTCACTCCAAATGGCTCGCCATTTGTTATGGTAAACATGTTCAGGACCAAGATATTACATTCATGTTAAACGTACACAAATGGAAATGGATTTGATTTTAGGCTGCAATTTGACCTATGTGTTGTTGCTGCTGTACTCACCGTTTAGCACTTAAAACACCCAGTAGTTCACCTTATCTTCAGCACCACTCACTAGCAGTGAATCAAATGGTCATCTATGGCTGCTTCAGGCTATGGCAAAAGATGAGCCTGTAGTTCCTCATTGACAGACCGCGAATCCTGATCAGGACTTCAGTAGCTAAGCTGCAGGGGAGAAAGGAGCCAGGGAGAGAAGACTAATAAGTGTTAGAAAGAAGCTGCTTGCTTAGGTTCAGAAACCACAAGGCCACAATGACCACTTAATTGCCATCAGCTGATCCACATTAAAAACAACTACAAAACATGCTAATTACTGCGCGTAGCCTAGTTCAAATGAAATGTAGCTCCACTAACGTATGACATACTTTGGCAAAATACCAACATTTTCATCAAATATACAATACTAGTGATTGGGGGGGGGGGGGGGGATCTATACAGTTACCTATCGGGATATTATTTGACAATATATCGTATCGTTTTGACAATATCTCAATATCATTTTTGCGCTAGTTGGCTGTACCAAAACTATAGTAATTCATAGCTTGTTAGCTATCTTTTTAAATAGGGATCCAATTTGTTGTTTTCAGCACTTATTTCCATGACTGATGAAAACTTGTTTTCTCATGGCTTTCTTGTCCCTCTGCAGAAAACATACACTACATGACCAAAAGAATGTGGACACCTGCTCGTCAAACGTCTCATTCCAAAATCATGGCATTAATATGGAGTCGGTCCCCTCTTTCCTGCTATAACAGCCTCCACTCTTCTAGGAATGCTTTCCACTAATGTTGGGACAGTGCTGCGGGGACTTGCTTCCATTCAGCCACAAGAGCATTAGTGAGGTTGGGCACTGATGTTGGGCGATTAGGACTGGCTCACAGCCGGCGTTCCAATTCATCCCAAAGGTGTTAGATGGGGTTGAGGTCAGGGCTCTGTGCAGGCCAGTCAAGTTCTTGAGTACAGATCGACAAACCATTTCCGTATGGACCTCGCTTTGTGCACAGCGGCATTGTCATGCTGATAATAATAATAATAATAATAATAATAATAATAAGCCATTTAGCAGACGCTTTTATCCAAAGCGACTTACAGTCATGCGTGCATACATTTTTTGTGTATGAGTGGTCCCGGGGATCGAACCCACTACCTTGGCGTTACAAGCGCCGTGCTCTACCAGCTGAGCACGGCGCTGAACACGGAAGGGCCTTCCCCAAACTGTTGCCACAAAGTTGGAAACACAGAATTGTCTAGAATGTCATTGTATGCTGTAGTGTTAAGATTTCACTTCACTGGAACTAAGGGGCCTAGCCCCAACCATGAAAAACAACCCCAGACCATTATTCCTCCTCTACCAAACTTTACAGTTGGCACTATGCATTCGGGCAGGTAGCGTTCTCCTAGCATCTGCCAAACCCAGATTAGTCCGTCGGACTGCCAGATGGTGAAGCGTGATTCATCACTGCAGAGAACGCGTTTCCACTGCTCCAGAGTCCAATGGCGGCAAGCTTTACACCACTCCAGCCGCCGCTTGGCTTTGCACATGGTGATCTTAGGCTTGTGTGCGGCTGCTCGGCCATGGAAACCCATTTCATGAAGCTCCTGATGAACAGTTCTTGTGCTGACGTTGCTTCCACGGGCAGTTTGGAACTCGGTAGTGAGTATTGCAAAAGAGGACATATGATTTTTACACGCCATGCACTTCAGCACTCTCCGGTACCGTTCTGTGAGCTTGCGTGGCCTACCACTTCGCGGCTGAGCCGTTGATGCACCTAGATGTTTCCACTTCACAATAACAGCACTTACAGTTGACCTGGGCAGCTCTAGCATGGCAGAAATTTGACAAACTGACTTGTTGGAAAGGTGGCATCCTATGACGGTGCCACGTTGAAAGTCACTGAGCTCTTCAGTAAGGCCTTTCTACTGCCAATCTATGGAGATTGCATGGCAGTGTGCTCTATTTTATACACCTGTCAGCAACGAATGTGGCTGAAATAGCCGAATCCACTAATTTGAAGGGGTGTCCACATACACTATACATACAAAAGTATGTTGAGCAATATGTTTGGAACTTCGAAACGTGGTATAAAATTGCAATACATATAGAATCGTGAGAATCCCAATACACATCATATCGGTCGCTAAAGATCGTGATAATATCATATTGTGAGGTCCCTGGCAATTCCCAGCCCTATACAATACATGAAGATATTCCAATTATCCCACAGAAAGTTTACAGTGTTAGCATGCTAGAGAATAGCCTAATACAGACGTTTCATCCAGAAGCTATCCATAAAGACATAACGGCTATGTTAGAGTCCAGTGGTGCAAGGATTCTTCCTAATTAGGCTAGTGTAAGTTAGATGGTGGAACTGGAAGCTGTGCATACTGGCATGTCATGGCCTCCCAAACGAGTCCCCAGCTCAGGAATCATTAAGCAAAATAAAGTTGTGATAACTAACAGGCTGTCAATGCCTGTCGGCTAAGTAAGGGAGTTGCTTTCTCAAGGGAGTGGGGTATTAACATTTTAACAGACTAGGCTGTACTTATGAAGCGTCGTTAAGTGCACTGTGCAGTAATGTCTTTATAAGACCGATCTATCAGGCATAAATTAGACTAGCTTCACACGTTTTACAAAGGTTCAAAGCAGCAGTTTTTATCTCAATATCAAATCATTTCTGGGTAACAATTAAGTACCTTACTGTGGTGAAAAAGAAACAAAAATAGCCTCTTAACAAAGGTTTGGAACTCTTATTGGTCTTATTGAAAGCACTAATTTACCACCTGGTGATGTCACCAGGAAGGCCAAAACTCCATCCCACCAAAACAGGCTGAAATTTCAGGCGGTCTTTTCAAAACAGCGCTTACACTGAAAAGGCATTATCAGCATTTTCTAAATTGCACAGAATTATTCCAACCGCATTGTGTGGAAATATAATTATTATAAAAACACAGGAAAAATCAGGTTTATGACTGCACTGGGCCTTTAAGAAGTCCCCACTCCCAGCTCAAGAGACACACCGCTTCATGGTGTGACGGTCACTATCACCTTCCAAAGGGATGCGATTAGACTTCATGCTACTAAACTTTCCGTGTTCTGCCCCAGGCTGCACCATTCCGGTGCACACGCCCACCTAAACCAGAGGATTGTTTAAAATTCATCTCACTATGGAAATTGAATTTCCTATCATGGAGTCAGTACTTGCCACCCACCATGTTCCGCAACAAATGACCTACTTTCAATATGAAAGTGATTTCTACAAGATGACGATGAATCGCTTGCCCCTGGCCTCTTTTCGGTGGAAAACTCCAAGAAACCCTCTTGTTCTGTACATGAAACTAGTGCAGCTCCTCAATTACTTTGCATCCCTCTTGACAAAGGGCTCTTTTGTGCTCATCAGAAGCCCTTGTTCCACTGTCTTACCAGCCACTTCATTACACTGCCTTGTTGAGTCTGTCTACGTCCCAAATACCACACTATTCCCTATGTAGTGCACTACCTTTGACCAGGGACTATAGGGTTGTGCACTATATAGGGTGCGATTTGGGATGCACATTTTGTCACCAGCCTCTCTGAAGGCCACTCAATGTGGTCTTTTTACAACATACCATTTCCAGTACAATCTCCAATAAGCATGGTCATCTTAAATCAGATTTTTGCTTTTAAATTAGGCGAGGGTCACAGACAGACTTGATATAATAGGAAGATGGGCAAAACGCGTACAGAGCAGGGACAAAATGTTCCAAATCCCCCTTGGTTAGTTGGGGGTGTAAATTGACCCTGTACTTGGCTTTCATGGACAGAATGGGCCAGTCTATCTTAATCCCACATATCATGCGTGACAACCTTTTCACCCACAATGTCAGCCATTGTTACGGGGAGGAGAGCAGGCCAGACAGAACAGAAATATCAGGCAATGAGGTGGTGCATTGTTTCTGTCTGGTTCTGCATTTCATTTGCCAAGCCTAGCAGCAGCAGTCCTACTTGTGCTTTTTCAACAATTAAACATCACCAACGCTAATGACATTTCCGCAAATGAATGAAAAACAACAAAAAAGACAATTTCCTAAATCTTTCCACTTAATCTGCAGAAATCCTGGGAGTTTGAAAGGTTATGGTCATTTGAGAAGCTCACATGACTCCATTGGGACTTGAGTTCCATTATGTTACTCTGAAATAGAAGTCTGTGAAGGACTGATTTATTCATCCCGCTCCTGCCTGCACCAAGTGGTGTACTGTCCGACTCCCACCCGCTACCGCAAGAACTGGTCCTGAACCCAACCACAGTCCCGCAATGTTATTTTAGGCGTATGTGACGCAGCTCACTTTGCAGCAATGGTCGCAGCCATTTTGCGCCCTATAAGACAACATCAAAACGTGCAACAAAAAAACACTACCAAAT